CAATGTACAGTCAGCAAGACAAGTGTGTTGTCGCACAGTGAGTTTCAAAATTGGTGCTAATAATTTTTAAGAGACGCAACCTACGGAGAAATGGATAAAAATTGAACATTTAAATTTATTACCACCAATTTTAGATACCCTCATATTTGTAGGAAGCTCCTTGTTTTGCCAAATTTGGAGTGCTTTCGTTTTCCCCTTTTCATAATATTTAAAACGAGAACAAATAAGGTTATAACTTTTCCGAACAATATCATCGCACGCTTCCAAGCACTTGAACTTTTTTCATCCTATTATACTGCTTTCGTACATCAGCCTTACGCAACCGAAACAGAGAAAGCGTTTTTACTCTTAATCATTTTTTCAATCCATCGTCCATTCTGAACAATCTAAACAAATGCGTTCCAACTAAATATTGCAAAAGAGTACTCATATTTCAAGAAAACGTATTTCTTATTTATAATGATTCATATTGAATCTTCTCATAAGATTGAGGTGATACCCGAAGCACTGAACAACTCACGGCCAAAATTGCAAAAAATAAAAAAATAAATAAAAAAAGGGGGGTTATGAACCTCAGCTGTCGACTCGGTTTTCGAACTTCAGACGCGTGTGTTGTTTGCTGATCGTCAGCTCAATGATAAGTATAATCACATAAAAATGCGTACCTCTAATATTCTTCACGTTTTAAATATAATGAGATGGAGCTATTGAATAAAATTCCAACTTTCACAAAAGAATTACAACCTAATATTTTTTTATAATTTATTAATCGAAATGCGTCAGAAAGGCTCGAGTTTGGCACTGCTTACACAGAAGAAAATTGTATTAGTAGTGTGAACAGAGAGCTATGCCAATTTACTTTAGAATCAACCATTTGCGTAACTTCTCAGTTTGGGTGGAGCAAAAAACAACAACAAAAAAACAATCTCATAAATTTATTTCGATAACTATGAAACGACTCACAGTTCGTTTGCCATTCTTCTAATATTTATTATTTGATATTCAAGATTATGTACCCGTTTCTAATAAAAAATCACCAGAGGGTAACAGTCTTGCCAGCCGCTGGCATTTCAAGTCTTCATCCACCGGAAAAAAGTCTCTCGAGACATGAAGAACATTAGTTGATAGCATAATCACTTGTGCCGAACTGTCGCAATCCACAGATAGAAGCTCTAACCCCAGGAAGTTGCCATCGTTGCAGCCACTCTTCCTCTCTCTTTTTCTCTCTTACTCTGTCACACACACACTCTCACTCTCTCTCACTCCCTCTCTTTTTTCCTTGGCATGGCATGGCTTGGCTTGGTGTGGCAACTTCGTTGAATGGGTCAATTTTTATTTCAGTACTTTATACTTATTATATAATTATGTTTTATACATTTCCGCTTATAGTTATCATTCGAGTAGTTCAAACATTTTAAAACATTGCTATAAATTTATATTTCATTTTACATGATTGTGAAACATCGAACAATGCTTAAAATATTGAACTTTTGAAGAGATAAGTACTCCCCCTTTACCAATTCATAAGTTACGCATATGGAAACAATTTACGTACGATAAGAGTAATAATGAGTTAGGGGGATTCAGTTATAGTTCAATGCAAACGGGCAAATGACATTAATATGCAAGTTTTGGTTGAGTCCATACGGTACCAAAGTCTCATCCCTGTTTGAAATGGAAGTTTCTGGAAATTATTCCTTTTTCGTATTTAGAATGTTTACGTTTTTCACTCGCGTTCTAGGAATGTGATTATAAAAACTCCACAGATTTCTTATGAATTACAAATAATAAAGAGATATAAAATAATTTGCTTATCATCTAACTCTATCCTTCGGAAGATCGAATCGCTAATAAACCATTGTTCATAGAAAGGCTACCTTCTAATTTGAGGTTAATTGTTTAACGATTAACCCTTTAACTGCTACGACCGATTGTGTTGAGTCATCTAGCTGCTTTGTATATTATTTTGTGTACCTCATTCTACAGTTATGCAACGATAAATATTTGTTTTTCTATTACAGGTATTCTTCGGAATACTTTTCATATATCGCAATATGATACTGAGAATTTGTTTCGATGTATTGGAATGCATCGAAAATATTTACTGATTTTTAATCATTTTATTAATTCAGGTATTTAGTTTCAAGCCCAAGGAAGTGAAACCAATCACGAGGAAACCAATCACGAGGATTTAACAAATTTCAGTGTCTCTTCTTGATATATACAATTTCGCCCTAAATATTTCCGTTCAGATTAAAGGCCCATGTTACTGTTATTCTTGTATTGTCTTTTCACATCCCATTTACCGGTGTCCAATGGTCGGCTTCAAATCCTTGATAAGCAGATTCCCTTGGGTGAGTCATTCGAATGCATTGTATTCGAAGCAGTTTTGCCCAACTGCCAAATGGCCACAACTATCTGTCAATATGAGAGGAATTTGCAAAGAAATATTGAACTTTCATTGATTAAATCCATTTTATTTAATTGTAGAATTTTAAGTTAAAAATATTCTTTAAGGTTTTGAACAAGACATTAATGAGTAAAGGTTCTTTATCAACGATGATAGAGGTTCACTGCAGTTTGCTACAGTAAACTATCGCATATTGCTCTCAAACTACGTTAACAAAAACGTGAAAGCTTGAAGCGAACTGTTACATTTTGTGATTGTGTTCTCTTACTCATTTATGATCTCCATTCTGAATTGTTCTAACAATTGACACGATATACACGTTTCGATTAATTTCAAGTTTCATTATGAATGAGCCTTAACTCAGCATATCGGACACTGAGCTCGTCGTCAAGATAATATGACTAAAAAAGTTGCACATTGCGTGAAACCAAATAGGTAATTACTAATAGGCAAACCGTTTAATGTTTTATGTCATAAAAGCGACTTGAACGACTACAATTTAAAACGTTTTACGATAACGGAAATTGTTCCTAATTCCTCTACAAGTTCATACTGCTAACGTTACATTTCCTGAATAACTCACTTTTGATGCACACTTCGTTTTTCATTTTTATATCGTTTTGCATTTGTTTGCTAATGCGGCTAGATTGTCACTCTGCGCCGATACACATTAGAATGAATTCCATTATCGCAACGTTTGTAGTAAACTCTACAAAATCCGATAAAGTACGTTTAATATCGTTCTTTGATATTTCTACGAGGTATCTTGAGAGTCATAGAGGCTATCTGCTTTAATATTAGTGTACACGATCTCTTTTTTCTCGATGGGCAAACACTCTAATAGCACTCAAAAGGTTAATGCACTTTCACCAGTTTCAAAACAATTAAACTCCTATGATTTCTATTTCGCGAGTATGAATGCATAACTTCAAGTATTAGAAGTTTCATTGCTATTAAACGATGTAAAAATCGCAAATATTTGCTCAAAAGACAAATACGATGTAATACAATATCGCATAATAAGTTATTTTCTAATTTCATTAGATCAGGTATTGACAATAAACTTCCAGAAACTGCTTCGTTTTATCAAAATTTGTGAAGTGTCCCTCATCACGGTGAAATATATTTGAAAAAAAATACCTTGCTTTTTTTTATTACCCCTAATAAATGTAGCACATTTATCCTTATGTTTTTCAAAAAGGTATTCTTCCAAAAAAGTGAACCAAAAGAGAAGGGTTTGTCATCTTTGGTACCGTTCCTGTAACTTTGCCTTTTGCTGATCTCACAAAAATATCCGATAGACATGAAAACTTGCTTCAACCAATATATAAACACTCCTACACTAATACATTTTGTAAATCTACCAGAAAGTTAAAATTATGGTCAATCTTCGAGATATTATGTACATTATAATAGTTTAATATGAAGAGCAGAAATGACGAATCAACCAAACTGCTTTATGTGAGACTTATTATTTATTTCACTGTGGAAACTATCACCACAGTGACACAGAATGTAATATTATTTTCATTAACAGAAGAATTTGTGATACACGAGGTTCGTATTTCAAGATTTCGTCTTTTAACATACGTTCTTGAATAGGATCCGCGCGAGAATACGCCATAAAATAATTGGCGATTAACGCGACACTGAATTGAACGGACAAATCGGGATCGCTCGCAACGAAGTTTTGCCGCCGCTCATTCCAATGACGATAAACGCTAACATTAACTTTACGGCAAACGCACTACGGTAGTCACAAAACAGAGAATGTATTCTCTGTAAAAAAAACGAAAGTTAGAGTGTAGTGTGTATTTACCTTTCCACCTTTCAGTGATGTACACATAGAATGAGAATTGAAGTATAACAAGACTACATCAAATTCAACTCGATTTTTTGAAGTAATAACTAGATTACCTTGTTTCCATTACCACTGTGTATCAACGCCAATATTGAACACTGTTTTAATGTGCAACTACATATTTAACATATAATATCAATTAAACAGTGAATTAAGTGTAAATCATTGCATCTTTTCTTCAATATTTCTTTTACTTGAATAACCTTACAATAGTCAACGCCAGTTAACGTTGCTGAAAATCAATATACTTGAACAGCCAATCACCCGAAAGCCTTCGTGTTTATGTTAAACGTTCGAGTTTTGCGTTTGATGTCTAATGCAATGTTAGCGTTTTACGTCTAGTTAAATTTTCGCGTTTAACGACCAGTTTACCGTTAGCGTTGAACGTCTGATTTAATGTTAGAGTTCAACGTTCGGTTTTATATTAGCGTTTATCGACCAAGATAACGTTAGCATTTGACGTCCGATTTAACGCTAAATGTTAACGCCCGGTTTAACGTTAATTTTAACGTTAAGTTAAGCGTTAACGTTTAACGTCCAATTCGATGTCAAGATTTAACGTTCAATTTTAACGTACGGTTTAACGTTAACATTTAGCGTCCAGTTTAACGTAGGCGTTTAACGCTATCGTCCAGCATAGCGGCAACGAGCGGGATAGCCGACGTCCGTGAGTAGAAGGCACTGTGTAGGGGTGGGTGGGTGACGTCGCAGCGTTGGGAGATGGCGCTGCTACGGCGGGCCACCGCCCGGGGCGAGGCGCGCGGCGAGGGCGACGAGGGCGGCGGCGACCACCGCCACCCGCGGGGCGGCGTCGCCCCCTGGTCGCTCGGCGCCGTTGCAGTAGTCCTTCTTGCAAGTGGAGCACAGGCCCGGGTGCTCCACGTTGGGACAGAGGCCCTCCTTGTCGGAGCAGCCGCGGAAGTACACCGTCTTGCCGTTCACTGTAACAGCAATTCAGTTCAGTTCAATTTCTGATGCTCTGGCTGGCTTATAATTAATAATATAATTATTATAAAATGGTCTTCTATATATTTACAGGCAGTCAAATTATTTTGTGTAAGAAATTGGGAGAACCTCGAAAAGAATATTTTCTTTGTTATTACGTATTAATGATGTGGACAACATCATGAAACATCTTTCTTGACTACATTTTACAGGACCATTTTACGTCACCACCCCAGCCGGGATTCGATCGAAACCTCCGATTGATCTCCAGGCACGTGTGGCAGTGTAGTTCATATAGTAAATGTGTGTAAGTAACGAGTGTGTTGGCACACAGGCGGCCAAATTAATTCAAATTAGGCTCCACGCTAGGAGCTCATTCAGTTTGGCTACTCTTTGAAGGTATTTAAGAAGAAAAAGTTATACATTTCAAACTTGGCGACTTCGAGGCCCCAAAATCCGCGAGTTCTCTCACAAGTAGCAAAAATCCATTTTATACAAAACTCTTTGGAATAAACCTTCAATTGTTTTCAAAAGTTACCGTTTGATCCCACCATCTCCTGGCCTGCCGGCGACGAAGAATTTTCACAATGTAGAAATTTACCGAAATCCAACTTTTACCACATAAGACATCAGTTTCGTAGAAATCGTGTAGAGAAGCTAAGTAATATACATATTGGATGCATTGAAATTTGGTGGTACGTTGGCAAGTAACTCTGGTATGCGGTTCCGTGCTCTGAGAAGAAGTGCTCGACAAGAAGCAGAAAACATGAATGACGAATAGAATATGTAATGAGTACGTTGATTTTTTCCCAGACAAAGGTAACCATGACAATATCTTTAATAGTTAGTGATGCATGCGGCAAGGTGTTAATCTTGTCAATTATGTGTCTTTTTAGAACCTTCTAGTATGACGAGATCACAGAAAGACGATGCACAGAACTTCTCGTCGCAGTTTCTGCAAATGCTCTCCCAATCATCTAAGCAATATTTTGAAGCCTCAACAGGGAGAGAAGGAGAGAAGTTTGATAACTGAATGTCCGCGCGTGGAACGTGGGGGGTCCACCATTGGAACTTCTAGGACCTCTCTTTGAGGTACTTTCTCAAGGACCTAGCAATATTTTATGTGAAGACTAAACGATAGTTAGATGATGCATACATTTTAACGAACAGAAGATGTAGTGGCACTTGAGAAGAACAGAAGAAGGATAACAGAAGATGAAGAAGAGAAGAGACAGGTAGAAGAGGAAGGGAAGAAAAGGAATGGGCAAAGCCAAAGGAGAAAGGAAAAACAAAGAGGTGAAGGAGAAGGAAAAGAACAAAAGAAAAAGAGGAAGGATATAGCAAGAGAAGGGAAAAGGGAAGCAAGGATGGGGTAGGGTAAGGAAAGAAGAAAATGGGGGAAGAATGGAAGAAGTGGAAGAGCAAGAAAAGGAAACAAAGGCTAGAGCAAGGGAAAAGAGGGAAGGAGGGGAAGAACGGGGGAATGGGGATATAAAGAAAGGAGGTGAAAGGGGAAAAGAAAGAGAAGAGAGGAAGGAGTAGAGCAAGGAAAGAAGGGGAATGGGTGTAACAAGGGAAGTAAGGTAAGAGCAAGAAAATGAAGGAAATAGTGGAGTAAGGGAAGGAGGGGAAGAAGTTGAGGAAAGAAAGAACGGGAAGGGAAAGAACAAGAGAAAAAATGGATATAGACAAACTACGCAAACAGTGTCTGGGAAACACCAAAATTAGACGGAAAGAGGAAGGCGGAAGAATAAAAGAAGGTGAAAAGAAACACTAAGATAAGACGTTTAAGGGACAGAAAAGGGGAGGAACAACCTTCCGGTCAGAGTCGCTGCAGTGGCAACGATAGCTGTCTCTGAGACCTCCCTTCATATCCACCTGTGGCAACATGCGTCATTGTAATTGAAGGATTTCTTACAAGAGTCAAACAAGTCCAAATCCGAGTTTATTCAGAAGGCACCAGAAACCTCGTAGCGTAGATTTCCCCCGCATTGTATCTTTCACCATGTTAGCCACTTGCCGAAAGGAAATGTTCCAGCAGATAGCGCCAACTGTAGGGAATATCTCGGTGAAAATCTCAAAATATGGAATTTTGGACTTGTTTGGCTCTTGCAACTGATGTCTGCCACGCGCATGCGCAGTGTGACTCACCCTCGCTGCGCATCTTGCTGCAGAAGCGCGCCTCCCCGTCACGCAGCGGCACGTGCGAGCAGTTGGTAGCACTGAGGGTGGCGTTGTCGAAGGGGTCCGCGCAGCGGGGCTCGTTGTCCGACCGGCACACCCAGCAGTGCAGGGCCAGCGCTGCCAACACATGAACAACATATATTACTAAAAATTACGTTGAAATTGACGACAAACTAAGCATCCTCTAACCAAAGTATAGATCAGTACAGTATAGATCAGTAGTACATATCAATACAGTAGCGCTGTTCAGCTGGCTTTTTGGGCTAGTTAGGAATGCGCGCGCATACAGTTTGCAAACCCGGTGGAGACAAAGTATAACTACGGATAGCTACTACCTTTCGACAAATGATGTATTTTGATTTATGTGTGAAATTGCTTTTATTAAGAGCTGGTTAATAACCTAAAAATAATTCATGTTGTTTCTTTACCTCGTGGTTTCATATTCCTTGGATTTCGAGGGCAAGTAATCAAATAACGTGAAAATCACGAAAACCTAAAGTTTTTTTCATACTTATGACATATATCGAAACATATCTCATACGCCCCGATTGAATTCTTACACTTTTCCAGTTAACAAATCAATAACAATGCGTATGTTGGAAGGCGCGGCCTGTTCTGCAATTAAATGTAGCAGTAATCCAAAGAGGAAATCCTGAGTAATGTTATTGTTTACTTGTCCAATAGACCTGTAAAACGCACAAAAACGTTATCGCCTCCTAGATGCCCTTATTTAGTCTTTAGATTACTTACATTTCTAGATAGTTTCATGAAAAATATAGAAATACTTGTTTTTCTTCATGATTTCACAATTCACATTCAATGGACAGTATTCAGTAGATTTAAATGATTTCTTTATTTACAAATTGTTCAAAACTTCAACTTCACATTTCATTTTAGTTATAAAGAAAGGTAAATTAAAATATAAACGAAAACATTCACTTTTTGGTCAAATATATGAGAACGATGCTGCGTTACGAATGGTGAGACGCCGTAGTGTTCCTTTATCGCTGCATGGATCACTAGAGTCGCTGATCAGTACATCGTTACCAGGCATTGAACACGGATCTACGTTACTGTATAATACGTATATTAACTAACCATGTGAAAGGTGTCAATTGTTTCGTTAGATTTCCAGAACGAAAAAGCCAAAAGTAATGAAGTTTCAATTTTGATGGCAAAATGCTAATATTTTTGTTTGTCAGCAATTTCTCATAGCTGATGTCAACAGTATATTCTCAGACGCTTGATAGGACAGACTTGACCTCATGTAACCAGGAAAGATATGCTCTAGGATTCACGTGTGTTGTTTCAAAACACCCAATTTTTGCTGCTTCATAATTCCATTTTCCACTCATTCGACATTAGCATTTTTGCCTACGCTGGCCACTAGCCAAACATTACACTTCCAGGCAAATAATATACATGAATAAAACCGAAGAACTTTTATATGTTATATATTATAATGTAATACAACGTTTCTCGAAAACGTTACCATTTTCTGTAAAAACTAGCTCATATTTTCAAACGTACACCCGACATTTTATAAAAATCGGCTCCAAATTAATTGTTCAAAGATTTGACATATGCAGAGATGATAATGGCAATTGCACTCTTTAATATGACGTTAAGTTAATTTTGGTGTATTTTTTGTTTTTTTCAAAAATTACCCAAATGTAAATGTTTTGAAAGATCTCTCACGGCGTTGATATCCACATTTCCAGCAATTTGTAAACTCTGTTTTGTTTGTGAGATAATGTACTTAAAATAACTCTAAATTTAGTTTTTCGAACACTCAAAAATTTTCTGTGAAAAGGAGCTTCAAATTTCGAATTTACAGTAGCACTTAAACACCAGTTTTTAAAAACGTCTCCAAATTTTTTAAAGAAACTTTTGCATTTAGGACGAGATTTTACTGTTCTTTAATAATTTAAAATAATATTTCCGCTTTACAATTAGGGAAACGAAAAATTAAGAAAATTACAAAAAAAAATGTACTTTGGGCGACGATAGATGGCAATAGGCAAGAGTGTCGCAAGTCCGAATAGCTAATTGAGACCAAAGGAAATAGAAAACTAATAGGGAAAATCTGTGCCATTCTGCAGCACCACTAGTTTAGTTCGTATCTACGAAGGAAGAGCTGCTTTGATCTTTTATTGCATTTTTGGATTGTTGTTTCCGGGCACGTCAACTGCTTTGGTCATTTTTCACTTTAATGCAGTTCATGTTTAATAGCAGGAAGTAGCGGTGTTTCGCCTCCGCGAGATGGGAAGGTTCAGTATCGACAACCACGTCGACTCTTGTGGGATATCCGCCTCCAGTTATCTCCCCCTCCCCCAGCGTGCCAGCTGGGACAAGCGCTGAGCTCCCGAAAGGTCTCCCGACATGCTAGTGTAGTGACTGTACGTGTGTGTTTGTAAGTGGAGAAGGTGGGTCAAAGAAGTAGAAGGAAAGATCGTCCTCGGTCAGTGGCCCGTTGGTTAGGGTACTGCTCCAGCATTCGTCTGATGTTGATCGGAGAAACCACGGAGAACTACCGATCAGAGTAGCCGGCCGCTAGAATTCTTCTCCAGATAGCGACTGAATTCGACCTAGCTGTATGGCTAGTGTAGACAATCCGCCACGTCGGGACTCGAACCTAGGGTCTCTCGGTCAGAGTCTCCGCAGTGACAGCGGCAATGATGGCTCTGAGCTAATCCAGTCGGTATTAGAAATTTAACTCTTGCGGGTATGTCATAGCATCCAAATCTACCGCGTCTTTCCAGTGCATTTTTAAGTTCGCCTTCTAAAGTGCGACGGGCTTAGTTCATATCCCGCCTCTTATACATCGATTTATTTATGGTGACGCCTCAAGGTCACGAGCTGGAAGGGGATGTGCTTACTGTCATCCAATCAATAGCTCCAATATCAAAAATTTAAATTGTAACGAAGTTCCCAATTCGATGACAGTGTCCTCCTCATCGTCCAGTTCGCGCCTTGAGGCGCCCCATTATGTCTAGAACGGAGTATAGTTCCGCTATTATTACTTCACGGTCTGTTTTAACAACCTATCAACCTACCTGTATATAAAGGCCGTACGAATGCTGACACAATGAATTAGGCCCTCTCATATGATGGCATATGTTGTTGCCCAGTAATTAATGACTATCTGAGATTTTTTGTTAAATGAGATACAGTCTTAAGACGTAGCAGTAGAACATATGTACAGTATTGCTACTTGTGAGCACTTGTAGCCACTTATAAATCCTCTTAGATACATTTTTTATTAATGTGTAAAGAGACGATGATGAGGCATGCCCCCTGTCAATGTTTGATTAGTACCTGACCAGTAATTATGTGTAAACACTATAAAACAATTTTTTTTAAAATTTAAGATCGCCTTAACAGCTAGGTCATTAGCAACTACTATAGATTAACGATAGGGTTAACAGTGTGATGCGATATGGTGATGGTGAGGGGTGAAAGGGTGAACACAAATGCAAGTAACCCGAGGCGGGACTCAAACCCGCGATCCTTCAGTGCGTGGTCACTACAGCACTACTTCCGTAACGATCTCGGCCATCCGGACGATGACAATTGCAGTATTGTACTTCACTCAACTCAAACTTCTAAATTATTATTAACCTTTTTCGGCAATGTATTAGAATAAGTGGAGGGTACCCTTTTTCTTACCGATGAAAGTATGTACAAAATATTAAAGGATAGTCACTTCAGAGCTAATTTTTTTATTTAATTAACCCATTTGGCAGTTCACATGAAATATACAGGATTGACGCCTCAATAAACATTCTGTTAATAAACAAAGTTATTGAAATTAATTGTTATAAAAATTACTGTGTACTTCACCTTACCAACCTGTCCCACGATTTCCATAGTTAAATCATAACATACTCCATTCGTACGTAATTTCGAAAACTATAAAAAAATACATAAACTATTTGATATTCTGTGGAAATTAATCGAAAGAGCCTGAGTTTTTCTGTTTGTTAATAGACAAATTAATACTTTGAAAGATTTTATCACAAATATATTGGGTCTCTTTGATGTATCACGTGTGTCTGGGCCTGCCTATTTGAAGTCGATTTTCAGAGTGAAAATACTTCCTGTCTTAATGCAATGATACACAAAGAACGGAAGGATTCACACCGGCCTAACAAGAATGTATTATGACTGCAGTAAATATTTCCTTTTTGAATTCCACTTCTATGAACGAGTGAAGTGTCAAAGGAAAGAGGGTTTCACAGAGAGGCGACAAATTGCACTTTCAGTACATAAATTATTAAGAATTTGATTAAAAAACGACTCAAAACAGGCAGATGTAACTGCAATTTGAAACACACGGCATGCTTAATGTTCTGCTTACTCACCAATTGTGTATAACTACCAAAATGTGTCTCGAAGGGCCTTACTGGTACGATGGGGTCTATGAGACCAGTAAAATTTAGCAAAACTCGCATTATCTGCGAAACAAAGATGAGACGTTTTGTCTACCTTTAAGTCGAGTAACTATCAGTGTCAATTGGAAGTGGCATATCAAAGACTCGCATCTTCTCCGAAAGATCGCTCACTGCCCGTGGCCCGTTTCTTAGGGTACTGCTCCGGCATTCGCCAAGAGTTGATCGAAGAAACCACGTAAAACTGCCGATCAGATGAGCCGGCCTATAGAATTCGCTTCCATGCAGCGTCAAGTGTTGTGATTGTGCGTGTGTGTTGTGGGAGAGAATGGTTCAAGAATGAGGATGGAATTAATATGCGCCGTTCCGTGGCCCGTTTGTTGGAGTACTGCTCGGGTATTCGCCTCGCTTTGTGTGGAGAAACCATGGAACATCATCGACCACAGTAACCGGTCGCAGATTTCTCCCCCAAAGAGTGCTTCAATTCGACTCTGCTGGTAGCTAGTGTCTACATTTAGTCATTTTTGGAACTCGAACCCAAGGACCTCTCAGACAATGATGCTGCAGTGGCAACGGTGTTGTCGCTAAACTCTCGCAGCTGGTGAATTTCCTTTTCTGTTGTCGGCTGTCTGGGAGCAGCGCCTTCTAGGATTGCCAACGTTACACAGCTATCATTTACTTCCTAAAGATTATCGCAACGGAGGATTATCGCAAGGCGATAGAATAGGACAAGAAATGAGAAGGAAAGATCGCGCGCGGTCCGTGGCCCGTCTGTTAGGGTACTACTCCGGCGTTACCCTGGTGTTAATGGGATAAACAACGGAAAAATTACCGATCAGAGCAGCGGGCTGCTAGAGTTCTCGTCCAGACGACAGAACGCGACTTAGCTATCTGGCAGGTTGAAAATCCTGCCACTGTCGGGACTCCAACCCCTGGATCTCCCGGTCAGACGCACCGCAGTGATCGCAATCGATGTCTTTAGCCCCCTCTTCCGGCCAAAAAGAAAGATAAAGAAATATGCTTATATTTGATTTCAAAAAATTCTATGACATTTAACTTTTTTTTTACGGTTTTAAAAACTAGTTCGGTAAATGCCGACCTCCATTGTTAGCACATTGATGAAGTCGGATGTCTTTGTGTGGGACCTGTACATTGCGGTAGGAAAAAGGAGTTGAAATTGCAGTGGTCGCCCGCGCGCCTGTGAAAGAACCGGCACCGGGGCGTAGCAGCGAGGCGGCGACGGCGGTTCAGGAAAATACGGGCACCGCTCACGGGAGGTCGCTGAGGTCGGGCTCAGTAGAGCCGTCACGCTTTGGTCGGCGAGACCGAGCGCACCATCGGCCGTACGGCCAGTCGGCGAGCCTTCAGCCCTGACCGGATATAAAACGGCAGCGAGCAGGAAAGTCAGCCCCATCATAGTGCGAGCCACGAGAGTGCAAGCTATTGACGCTTCCGGCCAGTATTTAAAGTATTTAGATCGTGGCCACGGCATCATGTTTGGACATCTCTTCGGCTTTTGATAAATTTGGCAAGACCCCGGTAAATCTCCTCATTATTTTGTGACTACGCATGTGAACGTCTTGCTCTTTATGATAGGCAATTGTAAATAAAAAACTGTCTTACGAAATTCACTTGTTTCGATCGTAACAGAATTATGCGGGGGAGCAGGTGAGGTCCGAGTTATGTTTCTTAAGCCATTTTTTACAAAATGGTGCATTTTATAATTCTATTACAGTTTAATAGTTTACCTGCTCGCTAAGTTCTATAAATCAGATGAGGGTGAATAGGCACTTATATTGGTTTCTAAAGACAAAGCATTTCTAAAAATAATACAATCTAAAACCAATACAAATGACTAATTTGTCACAAATATTCAAATTATCAATTTTTTCGTGATAATTTATTTTATTAATATTTTAACAAGCATAAATAATAAAACCCATTTTCAGTGGAACATGGGATATATATTCTCTAGCCCCAAATGTACTTTCACAGTTAGTAAACGTTAAAGATATTAACAACATCTTTAATTATTAGTTTATGAAAAGAGAAGTTGCACAGTTTGAACTTTCTTCATTTGCAAGTAAGTCGCAACGAATCACCATTTTAAGAGGTTATATAAATGGAACTCCTTGATGTACAAAATAAAAGTAGAACGTAGTGTTGAACAAAAAATTGATTCTTATTGAGTTTTTTCAGATAATTGAAAAGAGAATCCTATCTTGCCATTTCCAGTCGAATGACCTAAAACGTCGTAAATTATTTTCTTGGTTGACTGCTCTCCAGTTTTATTTCCGGTTTGAAAGTCCCATCTGAGTTATTTCTACAAAGTTGAGATCAGCAATCCCATTGAACCTGCAATAGCTTTAGAAACTGAATTTAGTGTTTTTAACGAACTTCAAGTTATAAAAGTGCGTAACCTAGAAACAATTTGGTTTCACTGCTCTAACTGGAAATCCGTGATAATATTCTACGCTCCTGTCGCAGAAATGTTTCTTATTACATACATTAGAAGTAGAAAGGTATTGATGATTTCAAAGCTTGTCTGTCCTCCTTCGAGAAAGTACGTTATCACGAGACATTTTTGGTACATCAGTTTTAATAAAATCGAATTGTCTGGCCAGTGATTATTAAATAACTTTTTTATGAACGCCTATGGTTATTTTCGCAATATACTAAAAACGCGCGTAATCGTACTTTACAACTTTTTTTGTCTGTTTATCTCTTTAGGGTAATCTTAAGAACTGCAATACCTATTTCGATAAGAGGTAAATAATTTTATGTAAGCATAATTTCACCTAATTTTAATTTCCTTATGTTGTTTATAACAACATGAAAGTTAAGAATCATGAAGGTTAACTCCTCATTGATCTCCAGAGTAGCTTACGTTTTTAGACATATGTGACATATGACTCAACTTTAGAACTTATCACTTTAATAGTGGGCTATCAGTGTGCACAGGCAATTTAATGCTCATTATTGTATATTTTCCTGGAGTAAGCAATGTTTACTGCTAGTAGCACTACGTCAGCTAATTGGGGATATAAGCTTAGAACCATAACTAAACCACATCAAGGCCTCAGAGACACAAAAATATTTCATTTTATAACCCAGTGAATAAATTATCCTGTTTTATAAAACTAAACGTGTTACACGAATTAATGTATTTTGTTATTTCTTTGATAATATATGATGATATAAAATGATAAATATTTCCCATTTAGCTAAGCTGTTTGCTGTAATATTTGGCTTAGATGTCAGTGTTGTTCACAGACACTAAGAGATGTTTAAAAAGCACTCTTTAGGGACCTCGCCAACATGTATTTTCGTCAAGGCTTCGAGTTCTATTTTTCCATAATCTTAACTTTACCATAAATTACCTACTGCAACTTTCTACGCTACAGAAACTGTGTTGGTGCCCTTAATCCTTAAAGCCCAAACGAAGCAAATTTTCTCTCTGTATTTATGACGAAGATAAATGAGTCATTTAATTTTAATGTGTCTCAGAGCATTTACAGAACAGCCTGCTGCAAACAGAACAATGTTGTGGATTATCTACCTTTGCTTTACGTTATTCACAAAGAGCTTGACGATGCGTGCTGTTACCTTTGTGCCATTCATTACACACATTCACGTCAAGGTTTTCTATTGTCAATTAGAACAACCAGAATGGTTTTGATTGCATGAAATTTTGTATTATGTTTATAATTAATAGATTCAAATGAATTTGGTATAGGATAACTAAACAATAATATCACGCAGAGTATATACTCAACACTGTTCATGGATATAATGTTAGTTACATATGTAAATATTCGTTTTAATTGTAAATGAAACACAAATCATTTTTGTTGTAAAAAAAATGCGACCGACTAAAATTCAATTTAAAATTTATTATTGATTTAATTAATTAGTAATAATTTTCAATGCAAAAATATATCTTTAACATATGTGACGTTAAATTTCTAACTATGCAGCTTTTATATGTTAAAACCACGAAATGTAAATCGGGCATATCTTGCTACACAAGTGAATACTCAAAAATCTTCAATTTTGGGCTGCTACAATGACACAGTTGCAGAAACGATACTTGACCAGTCATCAAAAGTGCATTTCCATAACTTCACTATATGGCCTATTGAGCGCAATTGTGTCCCTGCACTTGTTTTGGCAGGAATCTGCTCATAACCACAATAGCGTAGCGTTGGTACGACGTTGAGCAGTGTTCTTTCTTATTTATTTATGTCAGAAGGAATTATAAACTGTGTGTGACATGCTATGAGAAGAACTTAATTTGAAGTTAAATTTATGTTGAGAAGAAAAACAAGAAACCATCACAGCGTTTGGTCAATGTTTAGGGAAACTGGACGAAAATCTGATCGAGAAGTGGGTGATTGACCCAGAAGCTGAAGTTCAATACTTTTTACAGGTTATTTAGAATTATACAATACAAATGGTTAATAATAAAATAAATGTTGT